GAGCCAAGACTTCTATTTGCTCTAGTGCCTATGTATGGAACCAGAAGTGAAATTCATTAAGTTAGACTGCAGATTGCTCCCAAAATGTTGATTCAGGCAGCGAATAATGGGGAATGTAGGCATTAGTCATATATGTGCTCAGTAGTGGTTTGGGTTTTTTCCATTCATTATCTTGCTTTGGATAACTGAACATCCTTGTCTTTAAGCCATCACATAGCTTTGCTGTCTTTCATATATGTATTTTCACACTTTTTTCTAAAACCTCTGCCCTTTCCCTCAGCTCTTCAACTCACTTTTGAGTGTGCTCTTTATCCAGCTCATTCCATCAGCCTCTTGCTTCCATCCTGTTCTGTTCACTCCTCTAAAAATGATATGGGAGTGTGAGATCTAACTTCTATTAAACATACTCCTCTGTAATTGTAACTTGTATATTGAGTTTTCTTAAGTTATTTGTGTGTTATATTGCTGAAAATCAGCTATTAATTGTTCTATGATTCCATAATTTTTTAGAAACCCAAGAAGATAAAGGAAGGAGAAATGAGAATGGTCCAGAAAAAGGTAATTTCATCAACAGTAGACCACATTCTAATCACATCTCTCTCATATTATGAACTGTTCATTGTCTGMCACTGATCAAGGAGATCTTATAAAATGTCCATAATGACAGAGGTAAAGAAGTAGGTGAACTGGGAAATAAGTCTCCTTTGTGCCTTAGTGCTGCTACTCTTAAACATACCAAGATCACAGCATTTGTAAATCATGTTGGGTAAGTTGTCAACTCAGAGTTCATCTGTGAGAAGTCACGCTGATGCAGCGCTGTTAAATTTTTTGCTCTACTGAGCTGGATCAGATAAACCAGCAGAAAACAAYGCAGCCTTCCTGGTAGATGCTTTCCTGGGCCATCAATGAACCTCCTTCAAGCCTGATTTTTGCTGGCTCAGCATTCACTTTTCAAGTCTGAAACTATAAAGCACCTGACTAATGGCTTGTTCTTGCCTTGCAGAGGAGARAGGTACTAGTCCACAGGACTACAGATACTACCTAAGAATGTGGGCCAAGGAAAAAGAGTCCAAGAAAGAAACCATTAAAGATCTCCCCAAAATGAGCCAGGTAAGAAAGGGATATGAAGGTTTCCAGTTGGATCACTGACAGCTTAGTGGAATTCTGCAGTATGTACAGCCATTGTGCCAGCATGTTCAGTCCTTGTCTGTAGCTTTCCCTGCTGTTCTGGTCTGGTGAGCTTTAGAACCTCTAATTCCTCTGTTGAATTCTGTTGAATTCTGCATTGGATATGAACAAACTGCTTTGTATCAACCAATGAAATGCAATGGATTCACTCTGCCTTGCAGACCAATTTGTCCTATAAGAACTGCACTCTGTGTTTTCCCTCTGGAGCTGAATGTTTCAAATATGCCATCAGTCACAGAAACTGGTTCAGCTTTTGTGGTTTTGCATTGCCTCAAGTTACAGCTGCATGGCAGAGAGTGAAGAATGTGGTTACAGAAGAGAGTCAGATGACTGGTGTGATCTTTTCTGTCTCTAATTTCCTTTATGGGTGCTACTTAARCCAGTTCAGAAATGCTTAGAAGCTGACCACAGAAGAGTAGCAGAATAGAAGTAAAATTTCAGGTTTTCTTAGCATTAGTGAATATGTGACTACTCTGTTCATCTTTCAGCAGAAAACCCACCACTATTAAATTGCCAGCTGTGTCTCAATTTAGCCACATGAGAGAGGGGGTAGTTTGCCTATGTCAGACTGTTCTGAATCAGTGCATTAAGTTGCCACTTGGTGGGGAGGCAAATAAACAGTGAGTCATTTGAGATAGTGCCTGTTGCTTCATCTGCTACTGACAACTTTTTTTGGTCTTTCTCTTTTAAAGGAACAGTTCATAGAGTTATGCAAAACCCTTTACAACATGTTCAGTGAGGACCCTGTGGAGCAGGAGCTGTACCATGCCATTGCCACTGTGGCCAGTCTCCTTCTGCGGATTGGGGAAGTYGGAAAAAAATTCTCCAACAGGCCCACAAGGAAGTCAGAGGACTGCAAAGCAAACAGCACCCAAGATCCTGTGAGTGAAGAGGAGTCACCARCATCTGAACAGAGTCAGAATTCAGCAGTGGAGCAGCAACCTCAGGCTGACCATGAGGACAAAGCCAGCATTGATGCTCAGCCAGAAAAAACACAGCCAGAAAACCAAACTCTAGGAGATGGGTCAGGGGAAGGACAAGGCTCTCCTTTACAGCTGCTATCAGATGATGAAACCAAAGATGACATGTCCATGTCTTCCTACTCCATGGTCAGCACGGGCTCCCTACAGTGCGAAGACATTGCGGACGACACGGTGCTGGTTGGCTGTGAAGGCAGCAGTGCAGCTGCCAGGTATGGCAGCACCATTGACACTGACTGGTCCATCTCCTTCGAGCAGATCTTGGCCTCCATGCTGACAGAAACAGCCCTTGTAAACTACTTTGAGAAAAAGGTCAACATTCTCCAGAAGATCAAGGATCAGAAGAAGGTAGAGAGGCAGTTCAGTTCATCCAGTGACTATGAGCTTTCCTCCGTGTCAGGGTGACCTCAAGAAAGCAGGAGTTGTCTTTGGGAGATAAAACAGGAAGATAGTGTGGCAGATGGCAGGATGGTTTGGTATTTTCTGTTTGGGGTTTTTTTTTGTTTATTCAGAGACCAGTAACTACACAATTACAATAGAATCCAATTGATAAGGGGCTTCTGACAGTGACTCTTTTGTGTAGGTGCTTCTTTGGCTTCTCTGGCTGAGAGAATTAGATTTACATTCTTGAGAGCCATTAGAACCTAATAGCCCCTGACATATAGAATTACCACCATAAATTATGCATGTCTGCCTTTTGCTATCTTTTATTTCAGTGAAGTTTTATTTCAGACAGTAGCTGCTCCTTGCCTGCCCTTGTTTGCTGATGGTTCCTGGGTAACTTTGCACAGCAGATGCAGCCTGGCTTGAAATAATGCTCACCTCTGGCTGCCAGTCCGAGAGCTAATGCAGTGTAGTCAAGTAGGACTCTGACCTATAAATAATCTTGTAAGTTCTTGTAAGCTGTTCTGTGACTCAGCAGCTATAAAGCAAGTGTGCCCYGCTGCTCCCAGCACTGTAAGATCTAAACAGAGACAATGCTCAGATCTGCAGGTTTCTTTCACATGTGATTTGGCATTTTCACAGTGTACGATCACTTACTCTCTATTTCAGATTTCAGGAGTTTTCAGGCRAGCATGATTTTCTAGTATTTTCTTTTTTGGTCCTTTGAAAACCATTGGTTTTAGTTTGTCTGGAATGCCACAAGCTCCTTCAGTGCAGAATTAATAGAGTCAGTCAGTGGGCTCATGATGGTTAAAATGAGGGAATAAGTTCCTAAAATAGAAGTCAATGAATCAGCCTCAGCATTCCAGGGCAGTGGCATGCTGGTCTGCTGGACTTTCCCTGTTGGTACATTCACTTTTTATCGCTGATTGCCTGATCTTCCTAGCTGGTGATGGGTCCAGTTTCTTGGAGAACCCCTGAGAATACTCTGATCAGTCAGCCCTCACAAATGCTTGGGGCAGGAAATTGTGCAGGAGCATTGTGCCACCCACTGCTGCTCACAGTGTCCTTTCTTGAGAGTATAGCAATGGATGTGCTCTTAAAAACTACACATCCAAAGGGATTTGTTCMTAAAGGGGAGGAATTCAGAGCAGCGTGTCTCTGCCATCCGCCCCTTAWGCAAAATCTCCATACCAGATCTCATTCCAGTTAGAGACAAAGTAACTGAGAGACTGAGTGGTCTTTTAAATCAGCGAAAACCAGAGGAAACTGTGAGTTGCCTTTCTGGTRGCAGAGTGTGTTCTCCAAGAAGGAGAAGTAATGCTGTTACTACAGGTGAACTCATCTCAGCAGGGAGGCAGTGGTCTTTATGGGGCAGGGCAACAGACGCTGYTGCTTGGCCAGAGCAGACCTTGAARGCAAGGTTTGATCCAGCTTTTGGCTGGCACTTGGGATCTAAAGGTAGGAAGGACACATGGGTGGATGTTCCCATTTAACACTACTCAGTGTGCTTCTCAGAGTTAATTCATCCTCATGACATTTTCAGTCTGTATTCACAGCTGGTACATATTTCTTATTTCTCTGCCTCCTCTGTCCTGTATCACTGGAGAGCAGCCAATAGTAAAACTGCTTTTACTAATTATTCAGTAATTTATTGTAATTTTTTTAAGTACAAATAATACATGTGATTTTACACTGTCTGTCGTATCTGTCATGTATTCAATAAATGAATCAGAATCCTATAGGTTATTTGGCTGTCTTTTATTTCTGTCTGAGCTCATGGAATACCACTCATTCTTTATCCAGTTACCAGAAAGAGTGGACTTAGTGTGACTGCGCTGGGTGTTTTCTTCTTCTTTTTTTCTTTCCTTTTTTCTTCATATTGTTCTCTTTTCTCCTTTTTCTTTTTTTTCCTTTACTCTTTTCTATTTTTTCCCTCTTTGCCCTCCCCCTTTTTTTTCTTATTACTCTGTATACTTTGTGTATAACACAGACAGGTACATCTGCAGGTAGGTACATCCTGACCGCTGACGATGCAGACCCCAAGTTAACGGGTTAAACCTGTGCCGCCGCCTGCGGGCGCTGCGGGGCGCGGCCTCGTCAAGGGAGCTCCGGCCGGTGCGTGATGTGGCTGTTTTGTGAGAGGGGAGAGCCCGTCCCGCTGCCGGTGATACTGCCCGGTGTCGCTGCCGTGTCCTGGTGTCAGTACCCGGTCCCGGTGTCCGTGTCCGGTCCCGTTGCGCGGTGTCGCTGCCCGGTGTCAGTGCCCGGTCCCGGTGTCAGTGTCCAGTCCCGTTGCCCGGTGTCGCTGCCCGGTGTCAGTGCTCGGTCCCGTTGCCCGATCTCATTGCCCGCTCCCGTTGCCCGCTGTCGCTGCCCGGTCCCGTTTCCCGATCCCATTGCCCGCTCCCGTTGCCCGGTGCCGCCGCCGGGGGGCGCTGGCGGCCCGCGCGGGCTCAGGTCACGTGGCCGCAATGGCGCAGCGGTTCTGGGTGCTGAGGTGCTGCTCSTGCCGCCGCTTCCAGGGGCAGCAGGTGGGGCTGGGATGGGATGGGATGGGACCGGACGGGTCGCGGGTGACGGATGCCGGGTTCTGACCGACCCCTGTGTGCCCTCCCAGGCCAAGCGCAGCGGGCGGTGGAGCTGCAGCGTGTGCGGCCAGCGGCAGGCCGTGCAGAAGGTGAGGGCAGCCCCGGACCCTCAGCCGCGTGTGCTGAGGGACCCTCAGTTTGCGTGTGCGAACCCTCACCCGGTTCGCACCTCGGTGACACCTGGGGTGTCGCCTCGCCCCGTGCTGTGCCCCTCAGGCTGCTCCCTCAGCCCTGTCTCGTTCATTCCGTGCAGGTTTATGGCCAGGGCTCGGGCCTGGAGTGCAGGCGCCACGTGCAGAAGCTGAATYTGCTGCAGGGTGAAGCGGAGGAGGCGCTTGGTTGGACATCTTGGTACAGTGTTTAAGCTTWACCTGCTCGGTGTTTGTGATGTGCTGCAGCTGATGTGCATCTTCCCACCATGGGTACCTGTTGCCCAGCCTGAGCTCATGGAGTCTTTTCTGGCCCGTTGAGAAGCCACGACTGTGCCAGTTTATTCCCCACCTCATAGGAACAAGCTCTTTGTTTGCTGTAGTTTATTTGCCAGCACTCCTGGCATGTTTATTTTTGGCAAGGGTTTCTTTCAGGTAAATTCAGGTGATCAATAGCATGTGTTGGTCCAGCCTTTACTCATTAATACATACACAGTAGGGTTTGGGTTTGTTGTGTTGTTTTTTAATTTTTTTTAAAGTGGTTTTATGTGCTGTTTGATGGGCTGACTGTGGAGATGTCCATCCTACGGATTACAATCCTCATCAGATTCCATTCTCAGAAAACATCCCTTTGAAGAAGTTGCTGCCTAACTGTTGGCATTTAGGGGGTTCACCTTGTCAATTTGTTGAGTAATCACTGCTGCTATTGATAAAAGACTTGTTCAGTGAAAACACTTCCGTGTAATTTCTGCTGGGCTGGAAAATCTGAGTAGCACCTTCCTGTTTATKTAATTCCTGCATCTGTTTATAAATCATCTAATCTTGAACTGGTCCAGCCTCTTTTTTCCTTACAGTTATTTTCAGAAATTAGTCAGAGGTAATTACATAACTTAATTGTGACTACGCAGTGCATCAAGGTTAAACTTGGGGGAAGAAAACTCATTGTTCACTTTATCAAAAAGTGTTACTATTTTTATTCTCAAGTAATTGTGAAATTCAAAACATTGTGAAATAACTTCCCTTTTTCCTTGGTTTCATAGGATAAATTAGTAAGTTTAAGCAGTTGTACCAAACAAACATTTATATCCCTACTTATGATCAATTTAAATTTATCATTTCATGAATAGTGGCTCTAGATSAAAGTTGCAACTCTATTTGTATATCAACAAAGAGGGCTGCCCTCTAACTAGATTTATCAAGTATTTGTGCAACATATCTATCAAATCATTCATTTGGCATGAGTTTTCCCTAAATCCTGGTTTTTGTGATATGTCTCCTCCTGTCTGGTGTTCCTTTCCATGCTTTCTGTCCAATCCCTTGTGCTATGACTGAGCGATTTGAAACCTGTAAATCAACAGACAGGARTGTGTTCTAGAAACTGTAGCCTAAACYTTTATTTTAGGTATGCAGAAGACTCTGTAAATGACAGCAAAAATAAAGCAGCACAGCGTGAGGACAGCTCAGTCCAGCAGGTAAGATCCCTACAAAGCCAAGGTAAATCCAAACCCATTGTGTCCTAGGTGAATCCCAGTGAAATCAGTGGTCCCTTTATATGTTCAAAGAGCTGAAATGGTGTGACAAATCAGAGAGGCTCCTGCAGAGACAGAGGGAGATGTATACAGGAACTGCTCCACTGGGAKCTGAATGTGGGAACTTGATACAGGAATGTGTCCTAAGCTAATTCATGATTTAAAGCATTCAGCACATGTGTAATAATACCAAATATGAGAAACCTCATGTTTTGCTGTTTTTAGTAATTCTCCAATGTTGTAGGAGGGAAGGAAAGAAGGCAGTCGCTGGAGTAAATATCTGGGCCAGGAGAGTGAGGATCAGGAAGGCAACGAAGAGGAGGCAGCTYTAGAAAGGCAACAGTTCTGTTCCCAGAGAGAGAACACTGTGGGAGAACAAAGGTACAGAGAGAACTTGGTTTTGCAATTCCTGCCCCCGAGTGGTGACACTTATTTGGAGGTGTGGGAGGCAGCTCATCTCTGARATCTGAGCTAAGTGCAGGTTGCAATGTATGACCCTCACCTGAGCARGGATTTGGTGTTTGGGGATAGAGAGACGTGCATTTTATGAACCTCTCTGGTAACCTGTGAAGAGAACYACAGTGGAGCTAATCTGTCCTCTTTCTGAATGTTTTTCTTGGCCAGGAAACATCAGAAGCACTTCCTCTCCAGTGATGTGCCAGAACATGTAGAAGAAAGTGGGGTTTCTCAGCTTTTCTACCAAGCCAAAAAGGTTAAAATTACTTACTTTATTACAGATATTTTAGCTATAGAAGATAGCTCCTGACCTCTTTCATATAATCAGAATTTTGAATTTTTGAGTCTTTCTCTGCTCTTCAAGCAAGCCAACGATTGGGGAGAAGAAAAGTGTTTGGGGTTTCTCTCTGAAGGATTTTATTCAGGCAAAGCCAATGCCTGAATAAAAGCATTTTTAATGCTTCTGGGCAGCCTGGCCATGTGTGCTTTTTTATAACTTAGTTCTCTCCTTTCTTACAGCTTAAGAAATGCTTTGTAGCAGTGCCTGATGGAGATRGTGGTTCTGGAGGCAGTGTSGTTCCTGCTGTCTGTGAGTCTGCAGTGCCAGAGGARAATACACAGCCCCCAACTACCAAACCATCTAAGTGGGACAAATTTCTCTCATCATCTGACAACTCCAGTGAAAATGCTGCTGCAGCAACCATGGCCCTGCAGGAGGGCAGTGGAGGTGTGGGGCYGGACAGCACCACGGCTAGCGGGGCCTGGAGGTGCTCAGGACAGGCTGGAAGGACTCTGCCCCAGAGTATAGGGTTTGGATTTAAAAAGTATGTTGCTGGCACTGAGAGACTGGCCTCCAAACTGCCCAGCACCAGTGGCTCAGTTGAGGATGGGTGCAGAGAACCTCAGAGCCAGCTTCTAAGGGCAGGATCTGGTGCAGAGACCGTTGCAGGACAGTGCTGTTCAGATACCACTGGGAGGGCAAAGACTCTTGTTAACTCTAACCCTGGCCCAAAGCTGAGCAACATCTCTTGTGCACAACTCTTCTGCACAGGTGAGGAGTTTGATGATGATCTCTGAGTTCAGGCAGGCTTTGGCAGCTGTTTCTTGCCTSTAATGCATCTGATAATGTTGTGTACTGAAGCAACGTTTTGAACTGAAGGTGGTTTCACTCAAATCCACAGAAATTGCACTATTAAAGTTGTTTACTTGCCTCATAGTTGTGTTTGGGGRGAAGAGGGAAGAGACAGTAACCTGAGAGCAACAGTGTTGTCTAGCAACCTCAGCAGCTAGAAATGGGAATGGAAGTAGGTTAGCGTGGAGAGAGAAAGCTCCCAGGCTTCAAGGATTCCTGGCCAGTACGATTAAATTCTGTGACTGACTCCTTACAAACTACAACTCTTTGTCCCTGTACTGCATCCTTTTTAAAATCTCCCATAGCAACYCTTTCTTCCAGAGCTGCAAGGAAGCTCCAGAGGCAGCAAAGCATGCAGTTTCTCTTTTTAAGTGTAGCCCTAAGTGCACACCAAAGTACTTGCAAAAAGGCAGTCTTAGGCTGCTTCGTGATACTAGCCTAGACCAGTAAATACCATAGCTGAAATGCTCACACAGACACATCACATGCAGTAGTATTTATTTTTCCTCCATTCTACAAGCATTTAAGAACATGAGAAAGAAATCCATAGTAGGAAGAAAGATGAACCAACAATAACTTGTGCTGCATTATCTTCTTTCAGCTAGAAAAGAGCTTTTTGTTACTACTACAAGTGGGGGGGCTGCTTAGAATACTGRATGGCATCGAGTGCTGCCCCAATGTCGCAGTTCTTGGTCTGCAGGAGCCGAGTGAGCCATCCGCCCTCATCAGAGAAGCCCATGGARAGCATCTGGGACAGGGACTCGATGAGGCGAGGGTCTGCTTCTGTGAAAAGAAGAATAAACTAGTTTAGAGTTCAGCTATTTCATGTAATTGGCAAACCAGGCRAGGCTCTAATACCACTGTCAGAGATAAGAATAGTGAGTCAGGCTCAGCYGGTCGTACTCTGAACCTCAGTGCTGCTGCTCCAAGTTAAAAGACCTTGGATACTGTTACTGCCTCCCACCASAAAATGCTGCCCTAAAGCCACAGGATGTACTGCTCCATATCCTGCATTAAAAGACCTCTTGAGCAGTACACAGCAAGGACACGATTGAGAACGGCTCCTTTTTCATGTTGCTCAAATGGCACATTAGCCTAAGGTCAGATGTCTGGTTAAGACTTAGCTGCCCACATGCAAGAGAGGACCCATCTGATCATGTCTAACAGAGTGCAAGARCTGCCAAACCTGCCGAAGTCAGGGGCAGGTTTAGCTGTAACTTACACGACCTTGGTTCTGTCACCTCTAGAACAAGTCTGCTTGTGTCAGGCCAAGTTGGCCGTTGCCAAGTCAAAGTTACCATCAGCTATGAAAYCTGCACGCACTCTTACCTGGGGGAAGGTGGGGGTAGAGGGCAGCTTCTCGCAGGCCCGTAGGTCCTGGTGGGGGAGGATCCCGAGGCACATCCAGGGAGCTGGGACCGTCTGTGTCTGGCATCTGCAGAGACTGCAGTTCACCTGTGGAAGGATCCACTTCYTTGGACGATAAGTGGGTCCAGTCCTCCTCACCCCCTGATGAACTGCTAGACTCACTGTGTTCCTGAAATGGAAAGAAAAAAATGTATAGGTAGGATGCACACTTCTACTGTCTGTCTTTAATATAAGGAATTGCATCCACAAGAAGTCCCACACCTTTGCAGTAAACTTCTAGAGAGGCTGTATATTATTTAATCTGCTCTCATCTTAATATTCACTCCCACACTGCATGCTAAATGATTATATTCCATTRTTGTCACAGTTCCTGTACCTGGGAGTGGAAACCGCCATCTTCCATTTGTGTGGGCACAGGATCTATCACCATGTCTTGTATCTGTTCTGCAACGACATTTACTTGTGTAGCAGAGTCTGTGTTATTCCAGTCTGCTTTGGTCTGACCGTTCTGGGTTGGAGCACTGTTGGTTGCCTCAGCATTGGTCTTCTCTTGGTTGGTAGAAGTGGGAGTCACTTTGCTTCTCTGTCCTCCATGTTCCACATCAATATCAACTTCAATACCTAGAAATTATTTAAGGTGGACAAASTCTTACAGATTTTTGCAAAGCACAATCCTAAACGATCCTAAATCAATCAATCCTGCTCTACACCCTAAAGGTTTTTATCATCCTACAGTTTGCCACCCAACATGCAGGAATTAAAATGCAAAGCCTTCTTTCATAAAGAACAGCTAAATTCCAAATAGTCACCTTCCTCTACACAGACAAGCCRTGTATTTCAAGAGCCAGGGGTCTTGAAGTTGTACCTATGCCCATATAAGCCAGGCAAAATCCAGAGTCACCACTGACTTGAAGTTAATGTTGTAGTGCTGACATGTTAATAAAATCTTTCCTCCTTTTCTCTCAAAGAAAAGGTACTGAGTGGCTTTTCTAGGCCTAGGCATTACTAATATCCAAGTGTAAATTAAGCCTTTGACACTCAGTAGACAGTTCCAAGACCAGTCAGCTGGTCTGCTGCTCCTGTTAAACAGACCTTTAAGCCAGTCTCAGGGATYGGTAACGAACTGTAAATCACTTACCCAGGGGGCTCAGAAAAGCTGCAACACTCTCCCCAACATTCTTTAGGAAGGTGACATTAGGGTCCTGAGGCTGGCTGTTAGTAGAAGCTTCTAGAAAAACAATTTCTGTTAGCACACACAAGCTCAGAGGGAAAGGGCACCTGCAGAGGGTGTGTCCCCACAGGAGCTTAGTGCCCATTCCTGTCACTCATATACACTGCACAACAAAGCACTACAGAGACAACAGCTAACTGAGCTACCTCTGGAACAGAAAACCAATATTAGCATTGTTAAGGCTCATTAGCCATGCTGAAAGGCAGATCTGGAGTAGACAGTGACATGCTTGATCTAACAGCTTGGTTGGGTTCCAAATACTTTATCTGCATCCTCATTGATTACATGGGCCCAAGCACACCTTGAAGTAATCATACTTCATGCTGAAAGGTGCCAGTTATTTCAAGCAGATAAGTTTCTATGTTTGTTTTCCCACCCAGACTGTACCCTATGCTGCAGAACCTCCGCCAGTGTAGACACCACCCTGTCTACCAGGTCATCTCCTCTTACCTTCTGCAGCGGGTGCACTGGGGGCTGCAGCGGCGGCKTCAGCTTGCTCAGAGTTCTGGCAGGGAGCTGCAGGCCCAGGATATCCCCAGCAGTGCATCCAYGGGAAGGGTGGAACACCATGGCGCATTTTACGGAGCCAGCGTCCTCGGGGGAGCCACTGTAAAGGGTAACATTCATGTGACACTSTTCACACAGCCGGGTTCTGAGCAGCTAAAACATGTAACTTGAATCTGAGAAATCTCCCATTCACTCCTTCCCCTCCAYAGATTTTGCTCACCTCAAATGGATTGAGCAGTGGGCTCTGGAACATGAGCATGTTGTGCTCCTTGTGCATTCCTTTCCCCTCACAGGTGCTGCACAGGTCGTAGTCTGGACAGACACTGCACTTGAACCTGGTCCCCACCACAGGTCCCTCACAGCCATCACAGATGACATTGGGGTGCACCATRTTGCGGGGAGGCTCCTGGCTGCACTGCGCGCGGTGCTCACGCTTGCATTCCTTTTTCTCTGTTAAGGAAAGGAAATTCTGTATCAAGAACAGGTTACTATTTACAGGCTGGAAATCAGGCAGAGGAGGAAGCACAAACAGCCCATYAGACGAGTGTTGACTTACTAGGTCAGTTTATTTTTGCACTGGCTGCCGRAACTATGCCAGGCTCACGTAAGAGACCTTAAACCACGTGCAAAGGGGTTTTGCAAAGATACTTGCTCCTGAAACCAAGCATGCCTTATCCTAAATATCTCTTGGCACGTTTATTTTGGATTAGTWCTACACAACCTCATTTGGCTTCTCATCCTACTTTCCCAAGCACTACAAGAACAAAATGTTTCTGGAGAAGGAGTTTGGAAGGAGGATGCCAGGAAGCATAACATGAGAATGGGGACAACAGGTGTGGCTCATTAGATGGACTGCAGATAAAGTTTGAGGGCATTTACCTGAACAGAAGGGACTAGGGAGCAACTATGCACTGAGAAAGCAGAATTAAGGCTAACATGTTGTGAATATTTAAGATACCAATGCCAGCTTAGGGTATCCAGGGAACCAGAATCAAAACAGTGGCTTGCACTGGACCAGCTAACAGGGCTAGGAGGAAAATTGTGGTCTGTTTATCCCACCTCATCAGGGAAGATTCATGTTCTGTCATATTACACTGCCCTTTATTTAACCTCCCCCGCCGAGGCCGCAGCTTCCACCAGGCCCCTGAGGACACGGGGAAAGGCCAGGGCTGGCTTCTCCCGCTTTGGGAGCGCTGCCAGGAAGCGCTAARCGCTCAGCCGAGACCCGCCGTGCCCTCCGGAGCTGCGCGGCCGTACCTTTGATGTAAACACGGAAAACGCCATCCCGCACGTATGGTATCGCCAACTCCAGCTCCTCGTCGGTGGAAAAAGCGATCAGGTCCCCGTCCTCATCTGGAAAGGCCGAAGGACAGGATGAGGGGCCCGGTGGGGTGTCACGGGGGGTAACGGGGTACCCAGAGCCCCGCACCCCGGGACCCGCCACCCCAAGGGCACCCCCGGGGCCCGGCCCGCAGCAGCGCCTGTCCCACTCACCCTTGTAGTGCATGCGGAAGGCGGGCGGCGGCCCGGCCCGCAGCAGCCCCTGGAAGAGCTCGGCGACGCGGTCGTAGATGGCCCGGTAGCGGACGGGCGGCGACAGGGAGAAGCGGCGGATCTCGCGGGTCGTCTCCTCCTTGCCCAGCAGGTAGGCTTTCACCGTCAGCGCCGCCATGGCTGTGGCGCAGCAGGAATTGCCGTCGAGAGCCAGAGCACACACAGACACACACAGGGCGGAGCGAGCGGCGGCGASGATGGCTCCGGGGCCGCCGCTTTTATAGCGCCAGGGGGGCGGGGCGGGACACAGGCCACGCCCCCTGTACCCGCGCGTGCATAGGCCCCGCCCCCTGGTGTCCAGGCTCCGCCCCCCGCTCCCCCCGGTCCCGGTCCCGGTCCCGGTCCCGGTCCGCTCCGTCCCCTTCCAGCGTGAAGGTGAAATCGCTCCAGGCACATTTTCCTGCAGCCGGGGAAAGCCGTGGGCACATGCAAATGCCCGCGTCTGCTCCCTGCCTTGCTTGGCCCCCGGGAGCAGCGCCTGTGCCCGGGTTTGCGCCCCGGGGCAGTGCCAGGCAGGTTTGGGGGCGCGGGGTTGTTGTGGTCACCAAAGCACCAGCGGGGTCTGGGCGGCGGGGACTGAGTGCGACATAAGGACCTTCAGACACCGGTGGGGAAACACCACACCACGGGGCAGCGCTGGACTCAACTGGTCCCATCACCACTGGACAGTGGCCACCGGGATACACCGGCGGCACGTGCTCACACCGCACTTGGCCATCCCGGTCCTGCTTGTCCCTTCCATCGTGGCAAACTGGGCCAACTGGGCCAGGGAACAGAGGTGGGGAGCCACGCGCCAGCCCTGCTCGTGCAGCACCCACCGGAGGGGTTTGCATGCCGAGCATGGCAGGAATAAGTAACTCTTCCCTGAACCCCGTGTTTCAGAAGGGGGGGCTAAAAATAAAGACACTGGTGTAAACACAACTGACATTCAGGAGGATGTGCTGTGGCCTTTCCAAGCTGGCTGGCAGCAGTATTTTTTTGCAGATCAGATACAGTTGACAGGCCTCTTAATCCAGCCACAGGAGGGTTCAGCTGGCAGAACACACCGTTTGCGCTGGCCAGGCATAATTAAATAATGATGGATCAATGATTATTAGGTTCCTTGTTGGTGTTAATTTCCTCTCACCCAAAGCCTGACCACTCTGGCTCTTGGTGCTGTATTTCTTGGTTTAAGATATTAAGAACTTAAGAGAAACAGTATCATGATCTATCATCTTCTGTGATCAAGAGAAGCATAAATTTTAATTTCCACGATGGGAAACTRGTTTCTTTCTTGACCTAAAGTATATATGTTAAAACACTCGTCCCTTATGTAGAGTATTGTGTTTTTGGTATACATGTGGTGATGTTGAAATCACAGCCCTTTCCTGAAAAATAGTATTTACAGTGGAAAAGTTCGCCCCTTTTAAGTTAAAAAAAAAAAATCTAGAAAATTCAATTTCTAGGTATGACACAGCTAATATTCCCACCATGAAGCAGTGAGTTTAAACTTTAAACCAGCAGACTCAGGTGGAAGCATGGATGAAGCTGTGTAGGAAATGATTCCGCAGCTTTTATGGCAGGAAATATTGAAAGGTTTGGGCAGTCAGCAAAACCRTTTTGTGCTCACCTTCCCTTTTGCCTGTTTGCTGTGTGTATGTCTGAAAATGTCAGTGATACCGGATGATTTGACTCTTTTTTTTTGGCTCCATAAAATCTGATGTGGCACCAGTGGAAGCCGGACATGCAGTACCGGACACTGCCAGTGTCAGATCTGCCTCACCAAGCAGCACCTCCAGCATGTCCATCCCATGTCCTGAGGACCCCAAGGGCCACTTTTGGTCTCATCTATAAAGCCAGAGACTCATATTTTGAGACTCAGCTCCAGCACAGCCATTCCTTAGGTTCCACGTTACTGCTGTCCCAGACAGCACCAATTCCTATTCCCTTCTCCATCCCTGCCTGTGTTTGAGAGGTGTTTGAGGCACGAGGGGTTGTCCTCAAGTTGCTGTGTCTTTTCCAGTCAGTTCTGTCTCCAGGCTAATTGAATGCTGCATTTATAAGTATCAAGCAATGCGCTAAAGTAAAATCAGAAATCTGGGTTTTCCTCTGTGTCCACTTTAATCCACTTCTCCTGATGGAACATGCTGAGTCACGCTCTGATTTCTGGGTGTGACATCATGCACTTTTGTTACAAAACATAAGGAAAACAGGCTTTCACCGGTCTGTTGTTGGCTTACCTCACCGATCACGGGACGGGGGTGACTCACTGAGTCTCCTCCTCCTCCTTGAGGTCGGGGATTTCCTCCCAGCAAGCCCTTCTTCAGCTTAGAGCTGGTTCTCCCCCATCACCTCCAGCCCTGAGATCTGCCTCTGGCTGGTTCCTCAGCCCCCTGGAAAAGCCATGTGAGGAGCTGTGCTGTATTCCCAGACCCACTTAAGAAGTTTCTCCCTCTGTTTGCAAGTGGATCTGGATTTTTGACATTCTCAGCATGAAGCAGTGGCTGTGTGGATATTTTCTTATAATTCCTTGGAATTATAATTCCTTAGGAAACCCACAACAGCACAGCAACCCCAACTAAAAAGGCTTGTTAGCCCCATGTGCTGAGCAGCCAGGTTTTCAGATTGATGTAGCAAAGTAACAGCTAAAGGGGGCAGGAAGAAAGCTGTCAGAGTTTTAAAATTCAAGTTAGAGAGGAAAGGCTTTGAAAGGAGCAATTAGCATCCCTTCAGTGCTCTGCTTTCTCTCTACACCCACTKCTGCTGGGAAATGTTTAAAAATATTTGGTTTTTTTTTTTTTTTCTGAGGGTACAATCACCAGAAATATTCCTTATGTCCAAAYTTTGCAGTAAAGCCCTGTGGGGGAAGAAGGTGGGGTGGAGGAGGGGGCATGTCCAATCTTTTCCTTGCTTGCAAACCACAGCAGAGGCTGATGAGGATTTTCCAGAGGAAATTTTCCCCCAAATCTTTGCTCCAGCCTGAGGGTCCCATCACTGTCCCAGCACTCTTGATGACCTGGGGAGGGTTTGGGCCCTGTGTGCCCCTGGCTCTGGAAGGACAGTGCCTGGTGATCAGGGACAGTGCAGAGCCACAGTGTGCAGGTGCTCTTTGGGCTGTGCCAGGTGCCCCATCCACACATTCTGATTCCACACACTCCTTCCAGAGGCTTCTGGAGAGGTTCAGGATCCCCCAGAAATATCAGGTCGGATGCTGGTGACTCAGCCTGGTCCCATGACCTCTTCTCTCCTCCTCCAGCCCAGTGAAAATACTGTTCATGCCTCAGAAGAAGAAGCCCTCCTTCCTCATTGGCACAGGCGGAGCAGAAAGCAGATCAGGAAGTTTTTTTTGCTGTCTCATTTTTGAGGCTGAGCWTTCCTGAAGTTTTGCTGTGCCATGTCATGTGTTTACACAGAATCAGCAGCGTTTCTCTCTGCTGTGACGTGAAACTGAAGGGCAGAAAATTCTGAGACAGGTTTTTTACTGAGACACAGGAGCAAATACGGAGAACAGGTGGGGAGCAGGCAGAAGGTACAAGCACACTATGGGTGTCATGCAATTCCATAGGGATTTTACGTTCCTGAAGGTGAGAAAGAACTTTTTGCGACCTACACAAATTGCTTGGGGTAAGAGTTGCTTTGTGAACATGCCTGTAGCTTTTGCCCTGAATTAAAGCATCAACATCTCAACACGTTGAAGGTAAAGCACCCTGTTGTCATCCTCCTCTATCATGGCTAAGGAGATTTGGAAACATTTATACTGCAGTGAAACAAGCCCTGGTGTTGTTTGAACACAGCAGCCTATAAAACACATAGAAAATGAAATTATTTTCTTTCTTGCATAAAGCACCCTGGGAAAGTCCAAGCCTGAAGATGGGCCAAACTCCAGAGCCAAGTTCCTTATAGCAGTAGATTAAACCTGCTATAAATCTGGATTACATTTTCTGCCTAGACCTAATAAATGTTTTCTTTTTCTAATTTTTGTAATGGCCTCAGGGCCTRTGGATTGCTATGGGAGTGCTTCCCATGGAGGCCCCTCATTTCTGCAGCATGCTCAGCATTGCCAGCATCAACTGTTCAAAGATCGTGGATAACCTTAAAAAAATCTTCTCTCTCTTTATTTTCTTCTAGGGGTGTGGGTCTCTTCAGTTCACATTTTAATCTTTGCTTTGCAAAATGACCAAAGCTCAAAATTTGATCAAAACTTTAAATACAGAATAAAATCCAAAACTGGGATAAGAGGGATGGACCTCAAGAATAAAAGGGATCTTTGCAAGTCTGAGAGAAAAATGGCACGTGCTGCAATTTGGTTTAGTCCCTCATTTTTTCCAAGAGAACCCAAGGTTTTTATCATGAGAGGGTGGTATAAAGCTCATTAATTTCTTCAGACTTTTATGAAGACAAAGTATAACAGCAGAAATTAGATTAAATTTTATCCCTGGGAAAGAGTCTAATTAATTGTCTTGGAGAAATTATTACTGTTCCTCTGTTCTCTTCCGCTGCAGACACACCACATATCCCGAGTGGTGGGAGCATTTTGCACCTCTGAAAATAAACAGCMAACATCTAATGCACTAAAATGTGTCATGTTCTTACTGCAAACCCTCTGCTGGCAGCGGGATTTCACACCCCTTCCCCACCAGCAGCTCTTACTTGTCTGCTGCCTCTGGGGGGTTTTTACCGGTATTTCCTGTGGATTTGCTGTTGGTCTTGGGTTTGACCCGTGGGTTCCAGCGAGAACTCGAGTGGGATGGGTGGGACAGAGCCCCTCTTTGCTGTGGTGGAGCTTTCACAGGCAGTGAAGGTGCGCTGGGCTGGGGGCTGAACCTGGCACTGCGGAACTGACCATGGAGCTGGGCAAGTGTTCGCATCGAGATGATTGCTTGGGTAAGGCTTTGGAAARTCCAGGTCAGGATGCACAGATCCASCCCCCTCCTCCGTTTTTTCCCCCCRGTATTCCCGGGATTTCTGCTCAGGGAATTTCTCTGCTCAGGGATGKGCGCGGTGTGAGCAGTGATCTGTATCGGGACCCTGTCGCTCAGCCCTGGCTTCTGCGAGTGAAAGGAGGCAGAAACTTTTGATGCCGTCCAAAGGGCTCCCTCTGCCGATTTCTTTCCCGGTTTTTCTAACCACCGGTAGAGGCCATTTCAAGATTAGAAAAACGKGGTTTTATTTCATGAACTGGAGAAGATTCTAAGGATGCAGTTAGACAAGACCATCACGTGCCGAAATGG